CATTCCTGATGCCGTGCAGCATCCCGGCGGTCCGGGCGAGTGAAGCCGCGGCCAGTGCCTAACTGAGCCTTTTCCTTGGGATTGACCGCCATCAGCACAGCGGGAACCGGGGGGCTCAGAAGAAAGCAGCGTGCCCGGGGAGGATCAGTCCAGTACGATGCTCCTTGCGCTTTTGCTCAGGTCCCATCTCAGACGTCCTGTGTTTTGCCAGCCCACCTGGGTTGAATCGTCTCTGACCCTGTCCGGGAGGGCTGGCAAAACGCGCCGGACCCCTTTGCTGCCCTCCACCACCCCCAGCGCTGCCTGAATGCGCTGCCCACCGTGAGACGGACGGGAGGGAAGACGATGTGCTCTCTCAGGTGAGAGGTCCAAGAGCTGAGGATTACCAAAAAGTCACAAGCACGCCTGCAAGCGCTCTGGGCTTTTAAGTTTTCCTTTAAAAGTCATCCCCTGGGGTGTCTCGGTGCTCTGTAGCAGGAGTGCCGGGGTCCGGGGTCAGCGCTGGCTGCCGTGCTGGTTTCTGAATCAGGACAGCCGCCTCCAGTGCCTCGCTTTTCCCTGGGGTTCTCCTCCCCCCGCCCCAAACCCCGCAGCGACGTGACCCTGTTTAGATTGCAGGAAGGATAATTTCACAACCCGGTGCTTCCCTGGCTGTTAATGTTTCTAGTCAAACTTTGGATCGCAAGGGAAATGAAGGAGTCTGGGCAAAACTGACAGTGCTGTTCCAAATTTGCCAGGGGAAGAAAAAAAAACCCAATGCATACGTGGAGTTGATAGACCAGTTTCTCAGCATCTGCTTTTTAACCTTAACAAATTGCATGGTATTCAGTCAAGAAAAAATCCAGAAGGGAAAGCCCTTTCTTGCACCAGCTTAGTCAATAAGTGCACGTTTGGTGCCTCGGCTCTTGTCTCCCTCTGGTTATCCCCAGCTTCTCTTTCCAGAAAGGAAGGCAGGAGAGTTTTGTCCTTCACCTTCTGACTCTGACCTCGGAGTTTCCAGCTCTGGGACGGCATCTCCGAGCAGATACAACCTTCTTCACTACTTATGTGCACAGTCCAATGAGCCAGCTAATGCTGCAGAAGTTTAAATGAATATTTAAAAAACATTTAAAAGAAGGGGCGGTGAGCGGAGGAGAGGCGGTTGCTGAGCTGCGGTGCAGGTGCAGCTGGAAGCTCGTGGCAAGGGTTTCCAAGGGGGCTATGGCCAAAAGCAGGGCAGAACCGAGCCGGAAAGGTGCGATTTTCTACTGCAAATATGTGTCCAATGTGATGTCCCAGTGGCCTCTGAAAACGTTTGTCTGTCTTTGAGCAAATAGCAGGGATGTCTCAGTTAAGCGCCCGGTCCAGTGTTTGCACGTAGGGCACACGCTTCCCCTCTCAGACGCCCCGGCACGGCACGGCCGCCTCCCAGGAGCGTGAGGTGTTAGTCGTCGTTGTGTTTAACTTGGGCATCAGAGCCTCTCTTTGGGCTAAGAACTGCTGCTTTCGGTGTCACCTCTTTTAGCTGGAGCCTTTTTTTGAAGGTGCAAAGTGGAACTTTTTTTTTTCAGGATTTTTTTCCCCATTATTTAAAAAAACCAAACACCTGAATAAGCTGCTCCAGCGAACGCTGGGCTTTGTGAAAAATGCAGGAAAATATTGAGCCAGAAAGTGATTTAAAACAAAATAAATAAATCTCCCCTCCTTCTCTGAAGGTAGCAGCAAGTAGAAGACTGATCCGCTGATGAAAACCGTTCTGCAGCTTTCATGATGGCAGGGTCACTTCCAACAGCCGCTGTAACATCTCGCTCCAGCTCTGCTTTCCAGACCTCAGCCTTTATCCAGTTCCTCTCAAACTTAACCATCTTTGTCTCAGAAATAACCACTTTTAACTGAAACAACACTGAGAGAGGCACCCGAAAATTGAAGGGTGAGGGCAAGACGCCGGCTCTCCCAACGGCTGCGAACGCAGAGATTTCCTGTAGCTCCGTGCTGTTTCTGCAAGATGCTGGAGTCATTTTGTGGTGCAGGGATGTGCTTTAAATGAGCCCAAAGGGAGACAAAGTCGCAGGAGGAGAAATCACTGAGCACTAAGAAATATCCAGGTTTGGGCTGGAGAAATGGGGGAGCTGCCGCGTGCTGGGGGTGGCAGCGGGTCGCTGCCGCATTGCTCTGCTCTGGTGCTGGCAGCAGCGGCGGGAGGGATGCTCGCGGGTCCTCCCGGCTCATCGAGCATCTCTATCCCTCTTCAGAGACACAGAGGCAATCGCAGCCTGAAACAATTCATCTCAGTATCCATCACAGGAAGGTTTTAAATACAATAAACTTGTTTTTTTTCCCCCCTTTACCATTTCCAGCAGCTATGTTTAAAGCAATTCCTTTCTTATCCCACCCTTCCTTCGCAGAAGCACACCCCTGGTCTCTCTGCCTGTGGAAATTATTGGTTTCTTTGGATGAGAAAAAAGACAAAAATGGTTTTTCCCTCCTGCTGCAAGCGCGCAGGCTGGCTTGGGGACCTGCTCAGGCTTCATTGCTTGGTTCCACGTTGCCTTGCCCAGCCACGTGTGGGCCCTCTCAGCGCTGTTCAAATACATTAGCAGGTGCGTTTGTGGAGATAAATGCAAGCTTGATATTCAGTGGATTACTCCCCTAGCCGTTTGTCATCATAAGAGAAGTCGTCACTAAAGGGGATTAGCATAAAGTGCACAAAAACTTTCACCGAGAAGCTTGTTAATCGCTCCCTAATTCCCCTCTCCTGCTCAGTAGGGGAGGTTGGGTCGCTGGGCCCAAATTAAAAGGGAGCGGTCAGGCAGCTGAGGCTTTTAAGAGGCAAATGTCGGAAGCTCGGCTAACAGAAGACCATGGAGACATCAGCCAACGTGTTTGTGGCTGAAAACGGGAAATCTTTCTAATGATTTAGAAAGATCGCCAGAGGCCAGCTGTACGGAAACTGCTTCCCAACTTACTGGCTTTGAGCTCCCTACGGAGAGCGGCCCAAGCCACGGCCGTTTGGACAAGCAGGCAGACGTCCCTGTGACAACGGCAGGCAGCTGCCAGGCGCTTGGCCCCATGAGAAGCTTCCCAGGCAGCATCCAACATCACTCGTGGAAGCGCAGCGGGGCTTTGCTACGGTGGAAAGCCGGCTGCTGTCTCCCTTGGGTGGTTTCTCACCTGTATGATGCAAAGAAAGCTTTTGGTGCATGGAGAGGGGGTTAGAGAAAATAAAATAATACAGGGCTGGACCCGCTGCCGTGGCTCAGGACCCATGCCAGCACCAGGACGGGCTCCTGGAGCTTTGGTGACCGTCTCTACAGCATGGGGCTGGCACCCAGAGCTGCCCCGGGAGCCCGGCCGAGGGTGGCCCTGCGGGCACAGCTCTAGGGAGAACGTGCTAATGAATAGCAGGGCTTGCTCGTCCTTTTGGGCTTCGCATTTAGCAGCTTTGGCTGAATGTGTTGTCCATCCGCAAGGCTTCAAACGTGCCGGGGTTCTTCAGTTTGTCTGTTGTTCGCTGATCAAATCGCTGCGTCTCCCGTCGCAGGGCTGTGTTGCAGAGCGAGCAGGGATTGCGGATGCCTTGGGGAGGCTTCTGTCTTGGATCAGGATTCAAGATGAGGGTTACGTTAGCGCAGGCTGAATTAAAAACTTAATAACTAGTTATACGTAATACGTAGCCGGGTCCCTGCATCCTGGCGAGCAGAGGGCAGGTTGCAGGCAGGCTGGGCACAGCCCGTGCTGCTCGGGGGCTTGCTCTTGTGGTCCTCTGGCTTTGAGCGGAGAGGTTGCAGGGTTGCTTGTCTACCTCCTCCCTGTAATGGGGCGAGTTAATTCAGCTGCCCGTGGTGTGTGCGCTCCCAGATACCGGCCCAGTAATCCGAGGCATCGTCTAGGTGCCAGGCAGGAGCAGGAGGTCTGAAGTCTTCAAACACCGGGGTGCCAGACAGGCAGCAAATCTGCCACCCAGCAAGGCGTTTGGCACTAGATTTAGTGGTGTGGCTAGGCAGTGCAGCCTCCAACACAAGCATGTCTGGGCACTAAAAGCCTGACCCCTCATCTTCTCTGTAACGTCGTTCTTGTGTTGACTCTTGCACTTATTGAAAAGCATCTAGGGAAATAACTGGTAGCGCCTGCGGGTGGTTTGTGCTCACTCAGAGAAATGACGCTGCTAATCAAGCTAGCAGGGGAATATTGGGCTCCATTTCCAGTTCAAGGGACTGAAAAAGAGTTTGGCGGCACCTTGAGTTTGAGTAACTCTCTGCCAGACCCAGAGAAACCTCGCGGAGACGGAGGCGGCAGGTCAGCACGGCGTGTCCTGCAGCACACCTATGCCGTTCCCATTTGCTTTCTGCAATCGCGGGCTGCAGCAAAGGCAGCGCTGAGGACGGCACAGGGGTGATGTGCTTGTTGTTGGGGAAAGAAGAACCTAAGACACGCTTCAACCGACGTGTCCACCCTTTTGGGTGGTGTAAGGCTCCTCTCCCTTCCTTGTGCCGCTTCTGCTGTGTGTCATCTTGCCACGGTGAAGCTTTTCTTCATGGGGGAGGTACTTGCCCATGGACAAAAAGTACCATTTGTGGTTCCTGGAGTCCAATACAAATACGCAGCGAGTATGCCTATCATGGTCCATTTATCCCTCTCACCCCCGTCATGCATAGGACAGTGATCAAAGTCAGGAAGAATAACTTGATTTAAAAAGGGAAACAATAGATTAGTTTTGGTTCAAAGGAATGGATTTCAGTCCTGGAAACTAGGATTTGAAGAGCAAGGTTCAGTGGTTTTTAGGTTAGCAAAAGAAATGAAATCTGAAATGCTTCAGAGAAGCTGAAGCAGTTGAAAAGATTCAGGCAGGGATCAGTGGTTCCCAGTCCGGGCATGGGAAGCAGTGCTGTTGAGCTGGTCGTGAGCTACGTGCTGGTATCAGGGTGGGAAATTGCTGCTGCGTGGTAGCTCTGCATTTCTTGAATTGAACTTTTAATTCTCCTCATTATTAATTCTCTTTGTCTTTTTTTTTTCCCCTCCAGCATGAAAGACTTTCCAGGTAAGAATTTTATTTTTTGGCGTTTTTTCTTTTTAATATTTATGGACAGCATGCTTTTGTATGGCTTTGGGGATTCCCTGTGCTTCAAATCAACAGCATAAGCTGAAGCTGGTACTGGCCATTTGGTTCTTACCTTAGCTCAACCGTTGGGCCAGTTTGCTTTCATCCTTTGCTCCCCAAATTATTTAACAGCTACGCTGCAGAGAGAAAACCCTCTGTGCCCTGTTAGAAATGGAGCCCATTTCCACCATCAAGGTGAGAGGTCCGTGGGAAATTACTGCCCATTTGGGGTTTGGGCTGATACCCACGGGATTTTTTCCAGTTTTTGGAAGGGTGGTGGCTGCCCGCCTGCGGCAGCGGTGCCCTGCTGCGGGGTGGCGGGTGCTCATGGGCCGTCCCAGCGCCCATGCTCAGCTGACGCTGGCTGTCCCAAAGCAGCAGCAGCTCCACGGTGCTAGATCTTCATCGCGTTGTAGGTTGGAAGCAGCTACGAACCCTACCGCCAGTGACTCCTCCTACAGCGATCGTGCCTCCAGCCGCTCCAGTGCCTACACCCGGAGGGAGAACCGGTTAGCCGCCCTCAGCAGCAGAGCAGAAGAGGAGAGCAACAGGGACTATAAAAAAGTAGGATTTTTTAAACGTATTATTGTCACTGCATGCACCTTAGAAGCTGCCTGTTGCTGCAGAAACCTGTGCTGAGAGTCTTTGGAAAGAAAGAGAAAAAGTTGATTTTCGTTTTCTCTGTTTCCATTGCTTTTGGAAGTCACACCAGCCTTTTTCAAATGCATCAGCCCTTCAGAGGGTCGAAAAAGGACAAGGGGTGAAAGGACACTGTGCAAAGTCAGCTCTCTGGGGGAGGGGGATTGAGGAGTCCGGCTGGAGAAATGCTGGGAGGGATTTGAAAGGAGCAAGGAAAGACAGCGTTGAGCATGCCAGCATGGCTCGAGCACGCGTATCCCCACACAATTACTCCTGCCGCTATAACATTCCAGAATTATTTTTTCTATAACCTCTGAAACTTTCAACGTAATCCTTGAAAGGCAGTAATACAGCCTGCCGTGCCCGTCTACCAGCAATGCAAAGACCATATGAAAAGTAAACAGATTAAGATGACCTTAATTCTGAAATGACTGCGATGCTGAAAAGCCTTGCATGGTAAGCAGCACCCCAGCACCCCACTCTTCTTCATGAACATGTCTGGCCAGAAGAGGCGGGCAGTATGCCCGGTTTGTCCTCGTAGAGGGATGGAAATTCTGCTTGTTTGAAGGAGGCGAAGGGAAAACATCCATTTTGGAGTGGCCTAAAATTGTCCTCCTTTCTCCTCCTCTTCAGACTAAAAGCACACAAAAGCAACTAGGATGTGTTGTGTTGGGGAGCACAGCAGAACTGTACGTTCAGATAACATCCAGCCTACACAACTTAGTACTTTATTATGCGTGGCGGTTTATCTAAACTAAAAACATCCCTTTTCTTTGCCTCTTGGCTGTGTTTAAACACCCTACAACATTAAACAGCTGTTTTCTTATTTCATATGCATTATGAAAACACAAGGAAAGCATCCAAACTAGGCCTGTGTGCCCTGCTTGTAATATCCTGACGCGGGGGAGCGACGCAGACCCCGCAGCTGCCCCTGCTCGGTGCTGAGGACACGCGGCTGCTCGGAGCAGCGCGGCAGAACTGGGTCTGCCGGAGAGCAGCCTGGTTAATTGAAATCTTCTGTTTCCTATTTCAGTTATATGAAACCGCCCTGTCTGAAAATCAAAAGCTGAAGTCAAAACTGCAAGAAGCCCAGCTTGAGTTGGCTGACATCAAATCAAAGTTGGAAAAAGCAACCCAGGTAAGGCAAAAACCGGCTCCTAGACCGGCCCGTGAGACGCCAGTGCATGTTCCAGCATGGGAAAGGATTTAGCTCTTGGGAAGGAAGGGGCTACAGAGGAGACTGTTATTTTTCGCAGAAATAAGTGTGAGTGATTCTGTAAAGACTGCTTATTCTCCGGGAAAGTGCATCTGTAGGCTATCTAGGCCTTTGTGTAGCATCCTGTGAATGCCCCTCAGTTTTAATAGCTTTCTATTTTTAATTTACATAGCAGAAACAGGAGAAAACTTCTGACCGGTCCAGCATGCTGGAGATGGAGAAAAGGGTATGTGTCTGCTTTCTTCTGAGTCGGAATCTTTGCCTCATGTTGCTCTGCAGGGCATAGTAATTTCTTGAAGGAAAGTGTTAATTAAAAGATAAGTTATATTTTTGCCTTGTGGAGCAGTGCACAGTGATAATTGTGTTCTGACCTTTTCGGTGTCTGAGACTTTCCTGCTCTCTTTGCAAATCAGCTTAGTTCTGATTTCTTTCTTTTCTTAATAGGAAGCTGCAGACCAACAAATTGTATTGTATCGTGCTAAGAGACTGTTGGGCCATTATGCTTTAAAATATTCTTGATCCTTATAAATAAAGACTGTTTTGGGGTGGAGGGGGAACAAAGCAAGACACTAGCTGGGTGTCTGTCTTATGATTAAGCTGGCAACCTGAATGTTTGAATGCTCCTTCCTCTTAATTGAGCAGTCAGATTCATTGCAGTAAGCTAAGCCAAATGCGCAGTGTCTGGCTAAATCTCTGCCTTAAGCGACCATGGCTTCGCTCAGGTTGGAAGGGACCCGAGGAGATCTGTAGTGCATCCCAGCAGAGCCAACCAGGTTAGTCAGGGCTTTGTCCCATCATTTCCCGAAGACCTGAATGTTGTTTCCACAGCTGCAGCCCCTTCTTCCAGTTCTTAACTATCCTTATAGTGATTTTCGGGTTTTTTCCCCTTGTATCTAGTCAGAACCTCCCCTGCTTCAGCTGATGGCCATCAGTGGTTAATTAAAGCTGGAGCCTGGCTCCAGTTTCTCAGTAACGTCCAGTCACATGTTGGAGGGTCGCCTGAAGTGGAGTTTCCTCCTGAAGTGTTTCATCTCCTGAATTTTTAGGAGCTTCGCTGGATGGTCGAACCCTGTGTTTAAATTCAATTTCTACCATGAAAGGCCTTAATTATTTATGTGTAAACATTTCCCAGGATTTGCCAGATATAACCCAGAGGAGGGGACGTTCAGGATCCCCGCTTTGGACAGAGCTAGGCAGAGCACATCAGCCTGCGGTAGGAGGGTGTGATACCTACCGGCGCAGGTGCCAGGCTTTGACTGCTGAAGTTACCAAGGTTGCTGAAGCTGAGCTGATGCTCGGGCCGTGGCACTGCCGCGTAAGCTCAGCCGAGCATCTCTGCACCAGCCTGAACCCCCAGACTGAGGTTCTCAAAGCATTGATCTGCGTGGGCCTGATGGCGTGCTTAGAGCAGGCTGAGCGGGGGTATCAAACACGCAGCCATCACTGTCATCTGAAGATAGCTGCTGGGGGAAGTCGTGACATGGGTGGAGCTTTTTTTTTGGAAAAAAAAAGAGCGTGGTGGTCAGAGCACTTGCCCTGAGCGGACGTCCCCAGCCGGAGGGAGCTCACACCACGCGTCCCATCTCCCACCCGTGCGATGCTTCCAAGCTGGGGCAATGTCCTGCATCGCTTTTGTTGAATTAGGATCACGCCAGCCACAAATACAGGTTTCTGAGAGTTGGAGAGAAAAAACGTGCCCGACCGTTCTCAGTGAAGATGTCATTAACTGCTTCCAGGATGGCTTATGCATTTTGCACTGACGAATCCCTGGATGAAGTGTGCTGTGGACAATAAGTGACCCAGAACCCATCACCCACGGCCACACTCAAAAGCTGTGTTTCCCTCACTCTCCTGGCCTCATGTTTCTTTGCAGAGGGCAAACAAGTGGGGCAGAGAGTGTAAAGCCTGTTCTGACCCACATTTGCCATTTCCCCTGCTCGGTGCCCTTTCCTCGGGCGGTTTGAGCCCCCTCACGTTGAAGAAGTCATTGATGGGGTCCGGGTCTCTCCCTCTAGGCAAGGGCTCTAGCTGTCCACTGAGGCCACACCAGTACTCACATGGCAAAGCCTACCTGTGTAATTGGCGGTTTCCAAAATATGCTGAAAGCAGTCAGCTTCACAGCTTTGAAGCCCTAAATTAATCTGGGAGAAGCAGGATTTCCAGGCGCCTTTCCCTGTTTGCTGTTTCTTATTTGACGGCCTCGGTGAGTTTTCTCATTGCCTCCTTTAGTGGGTGCAGTTAAATCCATGGCTTCGCCTGCAGAGCTCAAAATCCCATTATATCAGAAAGTCCTGAAAACTGGGATCACTGGGGGGATAGTTTCACTGAAGGGCTGTAAAGAGAGCTCAGGATCAAGACATCTGCCGAAACGGGTCCAGCGCCTATTGCCTGCTGGTTTACCAGCTGCCTGTCCCATCTGATCAGCTCCTGGTTGTAACCTGTGTGTTCCTTTGAGATGCTTTCCAGTGAACGCTCCTACAGAAATACAAGACTTATTTTTCTTTAAAAGAAAATGTGCTGTTTTTCTTTTAAATCCTTGTGACCATCTTTGTTATGAATCCTTGTAAACAGGAGAAGCGAGCCCTGGAGCGGAAACTCTCTGAAATGGAAGAGGAGATGAAGGTAGGAAATAATCTATTCGCTCTGCCTATTCCATTTTTTATGCTTTGTGTTAATATCTTTTGGGATTGTAACCCAGGAGTAGGATATTAAAGGTGTACGTGGGAAGGGACTCGTGTTACCTCTGAGCGTGTTCCTTTATGCAGTCAGAACTTACTTTAATGGCCACGTTCTCCAAACATGAAATACTAATAAAACTGTCCTATTATCATTCATCTGATTGCACCATATGTTTAATTTGTTGTGCTGTTTGATCTGAGAACTGTGAAAGCTGTTCTCCTTTAATGCTTTCCAAAACTAACCTTTTGTGGCATCGATGAGTTTCAGTGTGCTGATCCTCTGTGCTCTGAATAGTCTGCAGCCCAAGCTAAGCCGTTGTGGTTCTCTCCAGATGGGTAAGAAGACAAAGCTGGCTTTTGAGATCACGCACACTAGCCAGGAGAAAAACACAGAGCGATTGTATTTCTGTGCTCCCTTCCTAAAGCATGTTACTGGAAGGCTGGGTCAGTAAGTCAGCCTGGAATAGATTTCAGCAAAGAGGAATTTGCTTCCTGGTGAAACGTGCAGCATGGCTTACTGTCACGAGACAGCCGCCACCGACTGCTCCTTCGCGTTCTCTCTCTCGGGGCATTGCTTCGAAGGATGGTTCCCCTCCTGCCGTGGCTTGGATGCCCTGCGAGCACGGGGCTAGCGGGGAGCACTGCAGAGCGGGAAGCAGTGTGTTTTGCCGCCTAAGTACACCTAAAACTTCACGCTGATTTTGCAGCGTTCCATCATTTTACACTATATTTTAATGCTCGTATTCACAGAATGCCCCCCTTTGCTCTGTGCCCTGCGCTTTCCTTCCCTTTGAGCATGACCCAGGTGGGACCAAGCTACTTTAAGAAGGAAGGACCCCGTCTGAGAGCTGTGAGCTCTCCCAGCGCGGTGCACTGATGGAAAAGATTTCCTGCCACCCCGGAGGAGGTTCCAACTCTATGTTTCTATTTGAAGCTTCATGTATTTACCGAGCGTACGTCTTTGAAAGGACCCGTTGGCTTGTGCTGCATCTTCTGCTGCAATAAGTAGCAGAACGATTTGGTGGTGTCTTACTGTAAAGGCTCTCTTGTTCTTTCACGGAGGAGAAAATAAGTGTGGATGTGCTAGCCAGAAGGGGAAGGAGAAAGGACTCAATATGCCTAAATTCCAAATTCTTTGTTCACTGAACAGGTAGCAGCCTTTAACTCCAGAAAGACCTTCCTGTCGTTACAGAAATATGGCCTTCAAGAGAAAATGCAGACAGCAGCAGTTTGTGTTGTTTCTTCAGCTATGCAGATCACTCTGCAAACCAGCTCAGTCTGTGGAGTAAAAAGACAAATTGGTGTCCTCTAGTGGCCTGTCGCTTTTGAACATTTATATTGGTTTGGAAAGCAATTAATGACAGAAGGTGTCTGTAGGAACTGCGGGATGCATCCAAAGCACCTCTGGTTGGGGTGGTCTGGAGCTGCGGACCGATGGAAGCCAAGCTGGTGCAAAAGGAGAAGCGCTGCTGGGAGTTTGACATGTTCTTATATTGCCCCGAAGCTGCTGGTCACTGCTAACGGAGCCTGTGGTCTCGCTGAAAAGGAGCTCTCAGGGCCTCGAGCGTGGTACTCGCTCTTTGCTCTTGCTGCGTTCTTGCTGCACTGAACAACCAAAGTGGCCTTTTGTTAGGAGAATGAATAGACGTGAAAGTTGAAAATATCTCTTCTGAGGTTCTACTTTTTCACTAGTTTTTGCAAAAACGTACCTGTGTGCGCTGTGACATGTCTTTCTTGACAGCCACTCAATAAAAGGAGTAGGAAATCTCTGAAGATAAGAAAGTGGAACTGGACAGGTCCCTAAGGAAAGCACGTTCGTGTCCACTTACACCATGCCTTAAAGCGGGAGAGTCAGCCCAGCTGTGTTTACCTAGAATGAGAGAACCTACACAGAGCGTCTGTGTTAATCCCTAGTGTGGAAGCTGAGACAGGAAAACAAATCTATTAATTCTGGTTAGACTTCCATTCCTGC